TTCTGAGTTGGTTTCCAGCTCACCTTGGACAAATCAACGATTCCCCTCCCAATCTCAATGAAGCAGCACACGAGGCGGCGAGAGAACTCTCCAACCGCGCCTCCCCGGGGATGCGTTCTACCGGTGAAGGGGATAACTGGGAAATTTTTACAACATATAACGAGCTCACTAAACATTTCTACCTGTCTAGAAGGATTTTCCCTCCACCTCACAAAAATCTAACCCGGCCCCAAGCACTTACATTAAGGCTTTTGCAAACGCGGATGTACCCTACTTTGAAAATGTTACACATCATGTACCCTGACCTATACCCAAGTAATCTTTGTCCACATTGTGGGGAAATAGCTTCATTAGAACACATGCTCTCGCAGTGCACCAAATTCGCTCATTTATCGCACATCACCTCTGCCAGATGGGAGGCGGCAATCCGCAGCTCGTCCTTGGCAGATAAGCTCTCGGCTGTCCACCAAGCCCGCGAGGCGGCCGAGGAGCTTGGCATCTCAGTCCCCACGTGGGAGCTGCCCGCAACACAGTGATCTGTGTTTTGGAGGACCAAATAAAAGTTTATCCAATCCAATCAAGCTGATATAACAAAATTTCACGCCATTTTTATTACTATACTGATCTCTAGAAGCTGTTATTTTAGGCAGTTAAAAGCACGCTTTACTCGCCAAAGAGAGGTAGACCAAACACTGCTCAAGGTCTGAAAGATTGTCAATATAGGCAATAGAGGTCGGCGCCCCCACGCTGCTTTCAGCGGTTCTCTAGATATTTCTAAAACTAGAGAACTAGGTTTAACTCTATACAGTTTCTAAATAGTTGAATTCCTGGGTCGCATAAATGAATATTTCAAACTGCACTCGAGAGTCAAATAGGAATCTAAAGTAGCGTTTTTATAGGTTCCAATTTTGACAATAGGCCTTTATAGACACTTATGGGCATTCAGGCATTAACGCCAAAATTGGCATTTAAAGGCCCTATAAAAACAACGCAGGAGCTCTTCTTAACCTCTAATTTATGTTCATACACTGAAATGGTGAGACAGGACCATAAGAAACAAAATAGGCATTTGCCTATTATCCGGTCTCCAGTGATGGGATTCGAGGCAAATGCCTATTTGGAGACAGGTAGGAAGAAGGCGAAGACGCAGGTGTAGTAATTAATAACAAATTCAGTGCAACCTTAAGGAGTACTGATACCACAATTGCGACCTCTAAGCGTTTATGTTGTTGGATCTTTCTCTATACGTAGGCACTCTCTATCGATTATCAATGATTCAATGGCAAATATTAGTTTTAGAAAATTTTTGTTTCATTTTGAAAATAAGCGTGACTTCTCAATTGAGTTGGCAGCACCTCACGACATCGCCACTGGTATGGCGTAAATGGAAGCCCCGTCACATAGCCCTGTGTGAAGTTCGACGAATAAAGCCGGCCTTGTCGACGCCACATAAAATTAAAGGGGCGCACACTACGCCGCTTGTTGGCAGGCGACGGCTACTGTTCCTTACCCATCCGACTTCGTTGTGGGGCCGCTTCAAGATAGCACTGGCTGCTGAGGTCAAGAATGCATTTTAGTTTTCGTAAGTGTACACGCGCTCAACAGGCTCGATATACCGAAGCAACATCATCATTTAATTCTTTACCGCGTGGTTTGAACAGTGCTCTTTCAACGACACGAAAGCTTGAGTTCATGTGGTCTTAGCTCAAGCCCCACAGTGGAGCACTGGCTTCTCACGGTTGTGGGCCGCCGTTTCGAGAGAGAGAGAAACAAATGAACTTTATTAATGAGATATCGTTAAAGAGTCTGTTTCACGGAAATTCCGGAGTCGTTAGTTGTGAGCGCAAAATCATCATCTTCTGCGTGACCGACACATCCGGAAAGATGCAAATAGACTGAGAATAAGGAAAAAAAAAACTTTGGACCTGGGTGGAGGTTGAACCCGGGTCGATTGCGTGGCAAGAAGGTGTTTTACGACACACCAACGCGTCTGCTTGTAAATACACTGAAAATCAACTTCCTCCGCTTTTAATTGCAGTGGAAGTAACTTTCAAGCTTTACCACCAAACACACGCGTTCTCTATGTGTTATTCACAACAGAAATGTATTATCACGCCCCACCACGGTGGTCTGGTGGCTTAGGTACTCGGCTGCTGACCCGTAGGTCACGGGACCAAATCCCGGCTGCGGTGGCTGCATTTCCGATGGAGGCGGAAATGTTGTAGGCCCGTGTACTCAGATTTTGATGAGCGTTGAAGAACCTCTATGTAGTTGATATTTCCGGAGCCCTCACTATGGCGTCTCTCATAATCATATGGTGGTTTTGGGATAATAAACCCACAAATCAATCAATCAATCAAAATGTAATATCACACTAATAATGCGTGGTGCAAGCGTACGTTGGCATCTTGCGTCATAACATGTTGTCATAATGGTTTTATGGTTTAAATGCGCTCACCCACTACACAGCGCACACACGTTGCTGCGCCTATACCCTCAATGCCACCTAATGAATGCATAGCAAATTCGAATACATTTTCTTCACTAAGCGTTTGAAGTACGCATTAGAGACAAGATATCGCTATCGCGTTCAACTCTTAAAGGTGGCGCTTAAGATTCGCCCAATAGTTTTACCAGGCTCTTTGTGCTTTAGCCCTAATGTGGGTGGCCCCCCCAATAATTGACGGTAATTTAGTTGCTGTACTAAAAGCTAGTAATTATACAAGTACTTAGACCATTGACGACTCAATTGTAGGGTCACAAGACTCAAAGCTACTAATTACGGTAAAAAGGTCATACACAAGAATTTTACTCCCCGGGGTGTAAGAGCCGTGGCAATAACATATCAGCGAAGTGGATACCCAAGTACCGGCAGCCTTCGTTTCTGGCTCGGACTGATCGTGATTCCATTGGTGATAAATTCACGAGTATGGTCGCGCGTGCGCAGCAGCTTCTTAGGAGTAATTACTGGAAATTTTTTTATTCATAAAAGTCGGTCGCACTAAAAATCACTCATTTGGTGGTGAGTCTTGAAGTACAAAAGGCAAAGCGAAAATCAATTAAAACAGCTCACCCACAATAAATGTATCCGCAGTAACAGACTAGTGCAGACAACACAGTCACACAATGTTTTAAAGCGAGTGTAATTAGATGAATAAGCACGTTCCAGCGCACACACACGCACGGCAAACACAAAAGACGAGGACAATGCGTGTGTGAGCAATAAGACAGCGTTATAAAAAAGCACACCATTTCACGAGAAGCAAGTCCTGATGCATCGCGAAATGAAATAATGCTTTGATAATAATGCTGGGCGCTTCATACTGCACCTGTATTGCATAAAATTTCAGTATGATTACCTGGTACGGGGTATCATAAAATGAGGCTTCACATCCAAATTAAGACATGAGCTAGAGTGCCCTGTTCCTTTTCAAACTGGGAAAACTAGCCGGATGTGAATAACTGCTCGAGGCAGTTAGTATGATAAGCGCAGTTTAGAGGCATTTATGGGTGTGCAGGAGAAATGTCTTTTCTTTCACTTGATTTGGTGCAGCTTTTATTTCAGCATCACCCATACGAAGATGAGCGAATGACCTGACATGTTTTATAACAAACTGCTTCGTCTAGCGCACATTGGGAAAATATTGTACTTGAACTTCTTTACGTCTCTTTTGCAGAGATTCTGCGTCGAACTTGAGCAAAGGCCGATTGCGAGAGCTATAGACGCTTCCTCGTTTCAAGGTATCTTGGACTAAGCTCTTAGCAGTCCTAATAGATTTTTAAAATATTTCTCCTAAGTAGAGCTCTACCATGTCATCACTTCACAGCAGCTCTAACACCCCTAAACAATTTATAAAAATGTGGAATTTCACCTCTATATTGCGTGCACATGAGTAGTAGCGCCACATTTGTGCAGTTGACTGAATGTGTTTGAAGAAAAAAAAAAGACAGGCTGTTATGTTAGGGTCATCTTGAAATAGCCTGACAGAAATCGTCACTGACTGCAGTACTAGATGTGAAATGCGTTTCAAGTCCCAGTACCCACTTTCAAACTTATTACGTCTTCCCTGAAGTTGTACGCAGCTGCTTCGTAATTTTTTTTATCGCTTCTATGGGTACGCCGCAGACAATGTAGAGTACTGGCACAGAGTTCGAACACACGAGCCTTCTGGAATACTTGCGCAGTCCACGAAGAAAGACGCACCAGCGTGTTACTCGAGGAGGATCGAAACCATGTCACACTCCACTGCACAATACAGCAACTGGCATTCAAGCTACTATTCTCTGCTGGCCAATTTTCCGACTTTTAAATTCGCATTTTAAATTCGGCGGCGATGGTGGCCACCCACCACCGAGCCCAACAAGGGGACGCTACAAGGTTGAATAGTGAACGCCAGCGATGCATAGTGAGACGCCAGCCATGCATCGCCGCAATAACCGAATATAACTACCCAAGGTTGGGTAACTACACAGGGTTAACCCTCGCCGCCAGAAAATTTGGAAGTAAACGGAAAAGACAAGACGACAGGACAGATAAAAAGTGAGAGATAAAGACGAAGATGTAGGTAGAGAGAGATAGGAAATGGCGACTGCCGATTTCCCTTGGGTGGGTCAGCTCAGGGGTGCCGTCTACGTGAAGCGGGGGCCAAAGGGGTGTGTTGCCTCCGCCGGGGGGCCTTAAAGGTCCAATCACCCGGCGTCGGCTCAACCCTTCGGATTCCCTTTTCCCCGGACACGGCAAAGCCATGCACGGCTAGGCGTGGGAGGGAGTCAAAACTCCCCCGTTAGCTCGGGTCCGTGGTGTTGCTACACACCAAACGCCTGCTTGCTCAGGCACCCCTGTGGGGGCGTTCACATGAGTAGTAGCGCCACATTTGTGCAGTCGACTGAATGGGTTTAAAGAAAAAAAAATAGACAGGCAGATATATCATGGTCATGTCGAAATAGCCTGACAGAAATCATCACTGACCGCAGTACTAGATGTGAAATGCGTCTCAAGACCCAGTACCCACTTTCAAATTTATTACGTCTTCCGTGAAGTTGTACGCAGCTGCTTCGTAAAGTTTTTTAATCGCTTCTCTGGGTACGCCGCAGGCAATGTAGAGTACTGGTACAGGGTTCAAACACACGAGCCTTTTGGAATACTTGCGCAGTCCACGAAGAAAGACGTACCAGTGTGTTGCCGAGATGAATGTAGCTTCTGAGAATCAAACAGCGCCGAGAGGAAGATCGTGACACTCCACTGCACAATACAGCAACTGGCATTCAAGCTTCCATGTATCTGCTGACCAGTTTTTGGAGTTACTTGAACACGGATTGCAATGACAAGAAAATTGGCAAAACACCCTAGAAAAATAATTTAGCACCCTCACTTTCAAAACAATGTTTTTTGCAGAAAACCGATGCTAAGTATTGTTCCACCTAATCCCGTCTGTTGCGACGGGCACCGCCACCAAAGATGAGCGCGCCGAGCAGACCGGCGCCCAATGCCACGGCACCGGCTATTGCTAACGGCTGTATGTAGTCGGTCACTACGGTACGGGCGTCGACTTCGTCAGAGGGCATTTCAATGTCCAGTCTATGCAGAAGGTCTCGGACCCATTTCTGGCAGTTGTTCTCGGTATAATGGTACTGGCCGGAGTCGCACATCTTCCTCAGTAGCTGGTCAATGCGTTCTTTTGGAATGTTCCGCTTTGCGAGATATCTCTGCAAAAAGAAAGAGGCCAGTGTGGGTGCGCTGGGTTCGAGCACTCTTATTATAGATGACAAACTAACTGGAGCACAAGGAAATGAAAATGTGGTTAAACAGAACGGAAGCAGATAGTGCGTATTAGATTTATCTATAGGATTCGACAGTGGGCACCACTGTACAGTTAATTGCAAATAATCGTTAAATACAAAAAAATATTGACAATAAGATAAAACACCATCGTTACAGTGCACACCCACTTCAACACTTTAATACTAACACTTTGATACTACAGGCACGAATTCACAACTCTATTCTATGGTCGGCACTGAAGCTTTCAAATTTATTGCACAATTAGCACAATAGATGAGGCCGAGTCCAAAGTTTTGTGTTAGGATGCGCATGTTTTACAATGCGTTGGGAATTAATTGCATTTTTAGACTGCATCCATAGAAAGGCATGCAGATGATTAAACAGTTGCAGCTTACAGTGATAGGTTAGAATAATTTTAATATATTTGTGAGGCTCCCAATATTACGCTGCGTGGTGCATCATTGCAACGACAGAGCATAAACTGTTCTGCGTTTTATTATCCTTTTTTCTTTAGCCTCTTCAAAGACAAGTGTGTTCAAAGCTGTCGTATTATGTACACTAAGTGGCCTAATATGCGATATTATGCATGTGTCATTATTCAGGTCTGTCCGAACGATTAATCTAGTTCGGTGACTTTGCAGCAACAGAAAAATTATATTGCGCTGATTGACTGTCGTTTTATTAACATTTGTAATCAACATACAAAAGCGACGCCCATTGATGACAACATCAGTATAGTGGGCAAAATGCCATGCGTCTGTACAAATTTGTCTGAACACGCTTGCTTCGAAGCACATAATATTTACAGTCTATGCGAAAAGGCCTGGATACAGCAGACACTCATGTAATATATACTCGGCAACAACTTTACTCGGCAGCATGGTAGAAGCTACGCAACAAGAGTGCATGCGTGGTAGCGCGCAATTTTTTTCATTGACCTTGCTGGGATAAGCGCTGCCTCATCTATAGCATAACTCAAAAACCAGCTGCACGAAGTCGTGGGTAAAGTAGAATGTTGTCCAGTTTGTAAAACTACCCTCCTCTCCATCTCTGTTCTTGAAGAACAACACCTTTTCAGCTAGCCAGTTTCACAAAGTAAACCAGAATTACGTGGTGAGTAAGTGTGCAGCCGCATACGCGCTTTTAGATCTCCAAGCAAAATGTACTCGCAATGTGACACTAAGATGTACACTGAACAATCTTGAGACGTTTCTCCCGTGCACATTTTTTTTAGTATATAATTTTGACAGGTGTTATTGACCCAGTAAGCCAACCTGATATCAGCCATAAGCAGCCGTAATACTCGCGGAGCAATGCGAATATGCGGAAGCCTTCGCTCCATTGTCAACATAGTTGGCACCGAGTATATACTACTCTATGGCTCCTGAGCCTCTATAGTGTTTGGCGTAGAGGAATGTCATTATGTTGTGGTGATGTGAAATGCTGCCGTGTTAAAGCAACGACGGCCGTGTTACAGCAAAAAGTAAAGAAGTAAGTTCGAAATGGCTGCCTATATTGAATGATTTTGTTACATGAAGACTCTTTGAGGCCGTCGAGTACAAGACGCTAAGCTGTCTGAGATTCCATTTGAAATGTATATTTTGAATACAGCATTTTGACAACTTGTTATGAATAGTAACAGGTCAGAAAACGATGGGCAAGACCCTCTGGATTTTTAGCCAGGCGCAGAAAATTTGTCAGGGCTCAAGGATTTCTTGCTACAGGTTCTGAGTTTGCACCGTGCTATTTGAATGTCTTCAACATTTTAACTTACTTTCCAGTTTATCTGGCACAGATTTACTGAGCTGACGTCATAAAAGCACTTGTGTAGATGGCTCACACATGCAGCACGGTAGTACTCCCTTCGAAAGACATTTGTGGTACCTTAACATTGAGCTTAGAATGTGCAAGAACACGCCCACATTGTAAATCATTTTGTGCATGGCGAGAACTGGAAACTATAGAGCTGTTTAGTGTTTGCAGAACCTTTGCAGAGGCAAATACCTTTGCTATATTGATTTGTTAAACACTTATAGTCAGTTAACTGCCGATAACAGACAGTGAGCCCCACCGCGGTGGTCTAGTGGCTAAGGTACTCGGCTGCTGACCCGCAGGGCGCGGGTTCGAATCCCGGCTGCGGCGGCTGCATTTCTGATGGAGGCGGAAATGTTGTAGACCCGTGTGCTCAGATTTGGGTGCACGTTAAAGAACCCCAGGTGGTCTAAATTTCCGGAGCCCTCCACTACGGCGTCTCTCATAATCATATAGTGGTTTTGGGACGTTAAACCCCACATATCAATCAATCAATCGATAACAGACAGTGAACGACTGATAATAGTTCAAGAGTGTAGGAGTTCGAGCTTGTTGGTAAGGCTTTCTTCATGCGAAACTGCGCGAAAAATGAGGATACGGGAAGAAACAAACGGGAACGAGTGCTGACTATGAACTAATACGTTAATTTGTGCAAGCACGAATACATAGGCTTTAACACGTGACAGGAAGGGGCAGGAGTATGAAAAAGCACGTGCGCGTCACCTTATACATTGCATACACTTAATGGTGCAGATATCTCATAGCTTTTTTCTGTTTGTTTGTTCGTTTCTGTGCGCTTGTTTTTCACGCTGTTTCGCATTGATGAAGATAATAGTTGATCCTTTGCGAGTAAAGCGACAGGAAACCTGGAACGTACGCCTGATTTCAGAAACTCATACTAGAGTTGCATATCTGGTGAAATGTTGAAATATGGAATGTTTTCTTAGGGTGTATAAAGCCACGCCATGGTGGTATAGTGGCTAAGGTACTCGACTGCTGACCCGCAGATTGCGGGATTGAATCCCTGCTGTGGCGGCTGCATTTCCGATGGAGGTGGGAATGCTGTAGGCCCGTGTGCTCACATTTGGGTGCACTTTAAAGAACCCCAGGTGGTCTAAATCTCCGGATACCTCCACTACGGCATCTTTCATACTTACATGGTGGTTTTGGGATGTTAAACCCCACATATCAATCAATTAGATAGTATAATGAAATCTGACTGTATAGAACATGAAGCACACACAGGTTTTTGACCGAATCCAGTGAATAACACATTAGGCACGCAATGCCTCCTTAGAGAATGTGACTGAATAAAACAAAAACAAAGTACCATGTCCTGCGTAGCGCAATGGCACGAAACCTATAGCTAGCACAGGCATTCGAAAACTGTGTACGGTTGAAAACTTTCTTTTGGAGTGAGACCTGTAAAAATATATTCATAAGGATGTTATATGTCAGCGTCTTGTTTTTTTTTTCAGTCTTTGAAGATCAAAGAATGAGAGTACTGTCATATTTGAGGGCCATTTCTAATTCGACGTATTCCTTGAATTTATTCTTTGGTAACTAAGTGAACATGGAAAAAAAAAGCTTCATCTTTCATCATTGTGCTGAAATGTACGTTTCAAAAAAAATGATATCGACGCTGAACACAAAGCCGATCCGAATATGCATGTGCTCATATTTAGAGAGAAAGCTGGGCTAATTGGTAGGTATTCAAAGTAAACAGACAGGGCGTGTGTGTAAGCACGGACATAGCAAACAGCAAATCGTTCCTCTCGCCACTCGCACCAAAATGCTGTGTATCTACCACGTGCTCATACGGCCACCTACCAAAGTTCATTTGTCCTGCATGCTGCCGGAGAATGGAATGCTCTTCCATCCGATATCACCCTCATCACCGACATTGCTCAATTCAAAGCTGCCATCGAAGACCATCTTTCAAGTCATGAAACCTAACCTGACCCGCCAATTTTTCGTTCGCCCACCCCTCATGTAATGTCCAATGTGGGACCTTTGAGGTATTTTGAATAAATGAATAAGTGAATAAATAAATAAATAGACATCTCAAATGTCGACTAACAACTGGAAAAGCGCACGATGATGGAAAAGAAAGAGGCGCGAAACCCTATCTGCGCATGCTCATGCCATAGGCGAACCACTGAATCCGGCACGCGTAGGGATCTATGTGAAAGATAACTATTAAGACAGTTCGTTTCGTTTCTTAGGCAGGGTAATCAATAGTGAGCTCACGCATGCGCTATCACAGTTATCGGTATGCTTGGCTTCGAACAATAAACGCGTTTCTTCGTTCTCATGCCAGTGAAAATCACGCGTTCATCGAATTTCGGCGTGCAATAATACTCTCGACCATTCGCAAATCGATTAGATAGTGAGCCTCTGGTTAGCCATATCTTATGTCCCATTATACTCATTCTCACTTGCGTCTGTGTTTGCATCACGAGCTGCCTCTATTATAAAATCAATATGGGCACATCATTGCACAGCACCGCCTCTATTCTGGGCGAATATTTTGCCAAAATTCACAAAGAGGCGTCGGCGTTCGCATTGACTGCTACATGTTCAGTAGTTTTGTATTCCTAGAAATAATCTGACAACTATAAGCGCGCACGCCTTAAAAAAAGGCATGCATCTCTACAAAGGGCATGATGACAAGTGCGCGAAGCTATAGGGCCTATAAGGTCCATAACGTCTACGTCAGAGTCGTGCACTAGTATAAAGGACGGACACATGGACGGGCGCACGAATGGATGGACGCATGGACAAACGGACGGCGCAGGTAATCATGTATTGTAGTGCCATATATTCATTGATTTACAAATCAAGTAGGCTTTTTTTTTCTTTACATAGATGTTTTCTCCGATGGAGCCGGCAATGTTGTAGGCCCGTGTACTCAGATTTGGGTGCACGTGAAAGAACCCCCGGTGGTCGCAATTTCCAGAGCCCTCCACTTGGTGTCTCTCATATTCATATAGTGGTTTCGGGACATTAAACTCCCCAAATCATTCCATAATCAATTATTTACATAGATGTTTTCGTTCTTCATTGTGCAGGTGTTCAGTTTTGGTTTTGTGGAGCGCGACGCACGCCAACAAGACTCAGCCCTCATGTGCCCCACCTTTAAAAACATGGAGGCCGCTTGAAGAGTATACAACGCGATAGCGTAATTGGACCAATTTCACATCGGTGTCGGCGGCGTTGTTTTTCAGCGAACAATCGGCGATAACCTTGAGGTAAAATTAAAAACTGACGCAAATATTATAGTTATGAAGCCGAGCCGTAATGGAACCCCGGCCTACATGGGAAGCAGGCGTTCTACCACGAAACCAGAACCGTGCCCTAAGCTAACTCAGATATATATCCCGCACGTGCGTTATTTAGTGCGTCGACTCACAATAAGGCATATTGACTGCTTGGGCGAGCCTAAAATCTCACCAGTCGTCTCAACATGTGAGTTGCACAAAGAATATATGGTTTAAACCTTCCATACCCACTACAAAAGGCTCTGCCACAACCCATCGTGATCAGTCACATCAAGAAAAACGGCATACTGTCTTAGGGCACGCCTAGTGGTTACCTCGCTTGTAGTATCCACTTCGCAACGGCACTTTCAATATGCACTCCAGGGTATTTTCAAAATGCGCTCAGGTCCTTTCCTCACGGCGTGGCTGACTCGACAGGAACATGACACCTGGCTAGCGATTTAAAGCCCGATGCCAAAGGTTGCGATTAGACTATCACGTTGAATTCTTGCAAGCGAAGCTCAAGCATCGTCAAAGTTTTTTATTTGATTGATTGATTGATTGATTGATATGTGGGGTTTGACGTCCCACAACCACCATATGATTAAGAGAGACGCCTTGATTGATTGATATGTGGGGTTTGACGTCCCACAACCACCATATGATTATGAGAGACGCCATAGTGGAGGGCTCCGGAAATTTCGACCACCTGGGATTCTTTACCGTGCACCCAAATCTGAGCACACGGGCCTTCAACATTTCCGCCTGTTCTTTTATTTGAATCAATCTCGAATTTTCACTCACGGACCACGCAGATCTTTCATTCACAGCCAACAAGGCACATGCTCGATTTACTCAGAAAGAAGCTCCTGAACGCCAACGCATTATAAAGAGCCGGTTTGAGATAAACTTCTGTCCGCAAGGCCCCTGGCCGATCGTGACCTGCTTTCGGTGCGCGCCGAATATTCAAGAGTCGACTCTAGTCTTCTGCCATGTACAGCAATGTCGTTTATACTTACCTTCTTTTCGTAGTTCTCAAGAGCAGCCCTCTTTTTCCAGTACGTGCGCCCCGTTAGGTCTCCCTCGTGGTTGTCGGCGTCGCAGATGAGCACCTCGTCCTCGCCGTAGTCGAACACGAGGAGCCAATGCATCGCCCACGAGTTGCCGTTTGCCGACTGCGACGAAGACGTCAGCAGGGAAAAGGCGTTGACGGCGCCATTGATGGAGCTGCCCTGCTGAAGCGGCCTACTGCAGAGGTACACCTCGCACCAGTCAGAATACAGGCAACCCGACATGTTTGTTGTATACCTCGACCTCTTCGTCGTCCACGCAGTCTCTCAGCAACCAATCCGAGCACGACAGGCAGCTATCTGCAAAGTGAAGGTGGGACCGAACAGACCCGGTTTGTTCTATGCGAGATAAAGAAACACGCACATTGCACGCATTTGTGCAAAGCAGGTTTAACAGACAATGCATAGCTGAGATATCACTGTAGCGGCACTGCCATCAGCATCTTACACGTTATCTGGTCCTGAGAGGGGTGATATTCCAACAGGGGAATCCCCTTTTCTCGGTGGCTTGTTTTTGTATTACCTAATATAAGTCATAAAATAAAAAAAAATGCCAAGCGTCCGTGAAACGCGCAGCATGAAGAGTGGCCTTTCAGAGCCTTTTCTTAAAACTCTTTGAGTAACTGCTACAAACACTTGCTGGGTACCCATTGCACCATAAATCATCATAATTTTTGTGTACTGTGCTATCCTTCATCATTCTTCGCAGAAGCGTGGTATCCGTTGCAAACTTGCAAGGAGTTATGTGCACTATTTTCATGCAGCGGCTGACGACGAAGAATTATGCCTGAAATGGGTATGCGCCAATCACCCTTAAAACAAAAGTAAGTAAAAAAGGTGGCAAGTTCAAGCAAATAGGTAGTAACTGCAGCACTTACTACCTTTATTGGACCGTTACTAACCTTTTGCAACCCTTCTACTACCTACGTTAGTAAAGACTAACTAGCTGCAACCGTTGCCAAGTTCTTGCTACCTGTTTACTACGTAAATTAGTAAACAGTTATTAACTACGATGAAAGAAGTAGAAACTGCAGTCCTTACTAGCTTTCATGCCCCGTAGCTAACTTTTTGCTACCCGGCTGCTGGCTGTCTAATCGAAAACAGTAGGTGATTTTTATAGTGACAATTTATGAAAGGAATCGTCTCCACGTATGATTTTTAAATAAATAAAAAAGTGACGCAGGAGATATCCATGGATAAAGAAAAAAGATTTTGTTTTAAAGTACGCAAACGAGATATATATGCAAACATCATTCTAACATTGCCAAAATAGAGAAGTAGAAGTAAACGAACCATAATCAAGTTTAACACGCACTGTAATCGACAATCACAACAAACTCAGTAAAGTACAACAAAATATTAAGACAAGCGGATCACAATAAACCAGGTGGCGGAATTAATCTGGAGTCCCTCACTACGGCGCATGGTAACGGCTAGGGTAGTAACAGTTACTAAATGCTGGTTGTGACAGCAAATGTAGTAACTGTTGAAAGCCTGGTGGTAACTATCTACGCTTACTACAAGGGTTGTGACATATGTGACAAATCATTTCTACCTCAAAGTTAGCGAGTATTATATCTTTCTTTATGAGTGCAGTTAACAGGTGAAGCAGAACAAGCTTTTGTAATGGGTTGGATCATTGAACGACCAACTCTTTACGCGATTCTTATTGTGTGACATCTGGTTGTTCTTTTGATGTTTTAACCGCTTTATTGCTCACTTTGCGCAATTTTTTTCCCGACATCAAGCCTGCAGCGGCAGGACAGTTTTGAAAGTTTCAAGGGCCGGCGTGGCTCAATGGTAGAATACAAGGTTGGCACGCAGCGGGCTCGTGTTCGCATCCGTCTGTGTCCTTATTTTTTTTTTAAGACGATCCTCCAAAGGAAAAAAATTGGTCTGTCTGCCTGCCTGCCTGCCTGTCTGTCTGTCTGTCTGTCTGTCTGTCTGTCTGTATGTACATTTGTCTGTTTGTCCGCCCTAGTGATACCTCAAGAGGCACCAAACAGCCAACCCCATCCGCAGCGCCCACCAATATTGCTCAAGGTTTAGTGTTCATAGTTGTGCGATTGTCAATTGAATAAAGGCCATTATTGCACATATCTGAGGCGCCACAACAACGCTTCGATGTTTTGTATGTCTGCGTTTATACTAGAAGAAGCGCACAAAAGTAACTCTAAGGAATGTAGCGTTTAATCACGTTGCGCTGACAGTGGAACGCAATGCTAAAAAGGCGTTTCCAACGCTTTGCTACGACGTCACGGTGGTCGCACCTGCCCGTCGCTTTGCGTCTACAGCTTATCACCTCAGAGACTGGCGTGCATCTTCCTCCGCGGGCTGCATGCCTTCGTTTTCTAGGATAACTGCCAGATGGCACTTGTGTCTAACGTGCCTCGATGCGCTCATTCACCTCCGCTACACGCTCGAGGCACTCTAACGCAGCGCCTGCAGAATACCATTCACCGAGATTCTTGCGCAGAACATGAAGCAAACGTTTTCTTAACTCTCTCTAAACGCAGTTTATTTTCTGATTTGTTTTTTTTATTTTTTGCTATATTGGTTACGGACACTGACGGTGGTGGCAGCGGACAACAACGGCACCGCACGTGACCCGTGTTCTGATCTCATAGCAGCTTTCGCTGTAAAACAGGCACTGCTTCTAAACTCGCACAAGAAAGAACACACAAGGGCATGCACAAGATGTGTTCCTTCTTGCCCGTGTTTTCCAGGCAGTGCCTGTTTTCCTTCGTGATATATATTTATACGAATGAGCCCACGTTCAAATCTTTTAAGGCCAGTAGCTAACCTGTATCGTTCACCGACATTTGCATGGCTCTGGCTTATAACTTGGTACTAGTAATAAAATAAATGGCACCCTTTAGAATCACTCAAGAAAAGGCTTTAAATAACTCTACATTTTCTTTTGCGTAATATGTAGCGTACTTCGATCTATTGTGGGTGTCAAGTCTGAACTTAAATGAGACCAGAAAGTAGAAAAAGGAGGTACATAAATACAATGAAAGCCTAGGTGAGTGGGCAAGCATCATTTTCGGAACGAAGCGCCAACAAAAGTATAGCGTTGAAAAAATGGTGAACACTGAGTCACGTATGATATGTTTCTGGGTCCAATGTTCCTCTGGTCTTTCGTCCTCTGACAGATATACATGTGGGCGATAAACATTTATAGAGTGTTGTGGACGTAACTGGCATGAAGCATAACTATAAGATATTAAAACTAGATTGGTTGATTCGTTAGACCCAAGAGGAGTGGCTTAACCCACCACGGGGGATCGACCATAAGTTGCGCGACAGTGGGATTTTGAGAAAAAAAAAGGGGGGGGGGATCCTGAAAAAGATGTTTTTAGGTACACGAAAAAACTAATTTATTTATTTATTTATTTATTTATTTATTCAAAACACCTTACAGACCCAACAGGGCATAGTGTAAGGCGAGCATAAAAAGAATACTTACATGAATTGGTACAATTTTCATACAAACAATAACTAGAACTAAATGTCAATTATTATACAAGTCCTCTCAGGAATAACAATGAGAAATATTAATAATAATTTTAATAGAAATACAATGGCAATGAACATCAGATGAGTATACGCGTGAGATAATGACGTAAAACAAGTTAAAAAAGAAGCACAAATTGTGAAAAGACTTTCCATTATTCAAAAGAAAACATCACTGAATAAAACACAACAGAACTGAATGGCATGTTAGTATTCAAACCATCAAACGAAATAAGATTAAAGTAAGAAAAAAAAAGCGAGATACTAGTAGTGAATAAACGCGTAGGTGCCGATTTCGATATGAATAAAACGAGCACTTATTCCTTGAAATGGGTGAGTAGAAGGTGGCGGAATTTTTCCCGATTGCGTTCTGCTACGATTTCATCTGGAAGGCTGTTCCACATGCGGATGACACGGGGGAGTGCAGATGAGTTAAAAATGTATGTTTTACCATATATGCGTGTGAATGAAAGATGATTATTCAGTCTCTTTGATGTGAATGCAGATGTTTGCAATGTCATTGATAATAACCTTGTATCATGTACTTATTTATGGAATAATGAAACGAAGTGTAGATCACGTTGGCTGCTCAAAAGGGATAGTGATAAGCTTTTTTAATTTGAGTAATGCTTGCGCTATGATCATACTTGTGTGAGATGAATCTAGCGGCTCTATTCTGGATTGATTCCAGCATGTTAGTTAAATAGCTGAATTGAAAAGACCAAACTTCACAAGCGAACAAATGTTACGTAAGCTAAAGCACGTATATTTGTGGGCGTCTTGCGTAGATTTCGGCGTATGTAGCCTAATGATCGTGAGGCGTCACTGCAGATGTTGGTGATGTGGGTAGTCTAAGAAAGGTTAGATGTGAAGGTTACACCTAAATATTTAAAAGAGTCAACACTAGATACGGGATCGCCATTAATAAAGGAAGAAAACTCAGAGTTAGAATGTTTGCAAGAGAAGGACGTTACTTTACATTTACTTGAATTAGGGACATTAGCCAACTATTACACCAATTGGTGATGAGGTCAAGGTCATTTTGAATTATTACGTGATTACAAGTACTAGTTATTGCTCGGTAAATTATACAATCGTCAGCGAAAATGCGCACTTGTGAGGATAAATTACTTGGTAAGTCATTATTATAAATAAGAAAAAGCAGTGGACCAAGAACATTCCCTTGCGGTACACCAGAACAAACGTATGAAAGTGGGCATGAAAAATCATTAACAATGGTTAATTGCTGCCGGTTAGTAAGAAAGTTCCGTATCTATGACAGAGTTGATGAATCTATACACAAAGAAGCGAGTTTAGAGATCAAGCGGCAGTGAGCAACACGATCGAAAACTTTGAAAAAATCCAGAAAAAGACAGTCAATTTGCAAGTTTTGATCTAAGTGATGATGTAGGTCAGTCGTGAATTCGAAAAGCTGTGTTTCATATGATAGGGCCCTTTTAAATCCATGTTGGTTTGGGAAGAAAAAGTCATTCTGCTCTAAGTGATTGTAAATATGGGAGGCGATTATATGCTCAAGCATCTTACAGCAGATGATTGTCAGAGAAATGGGTCTGTAATTTTGAGGTGAGTTTTTATTGCCACTTTTAAACACGGGGATGACCTTTGCAATTTTCCAGTCATGTGGAATCTGTCCTGTTAATAGCGATTGCTGAAAGATGTGACATAATATTTTGCTCGAGGGTGAGGCTGTACTTTTTAGTATCTTAGTGTTAATCTCGTCAACGCCTGCTGACGTGGACAGTTTAAGATTATTTATTAGAGAT